TACGGTACTATTTTCGTATATGTGACAGTTTGTTATGAAACTGTTGAAGACTAGCAGGATGAAGGTACAAAGGAAAAGTTGGGTTTCGTATGATCAAGGATCTGATGGAGTGGTGATTTCTCCAAGGAAGTTAGATTCGGTGACTGTAATTTCTCGAGGGGAGAATTGATGTAGACCTTGATAATGGAAAAGAAATATAACAAAGGAATAAAGATTGACACCCTATTTTAACTTGGATAGATGTTATGACAGGATGAGTTGCTGTCAAACATAAGCAGAGAAATCTGGAGAACAGAAAATGCACGAAGGACACATGGAGATTGTGCAAGAGTACCTGGAGGATCCAATAAGATACTGTAATGAGACAATAGGTGCAAGAAGAACAAGAGTTTCTAAATGAAGCTTAGAGTAAAGACTGTGTGAAAAAGTTGTACAACAGAAAGTCTTTTATGCTCTTGATAAAGGCAACAAGCGAGGACCTTTCTAATGCATGCAAGGATAGAAAGATGAGCTGTTGTAGATACACCTAATTGAGGGGGTGCAAACACCTGTAATAAAAGGCGACCGCCCGCCTATGATGAAAGGCAAAGACACCAAAAAGAATTGGTGTAGGTAGAGCTGTCAAGTGTAATGATGAAAGATGTAGAAGCTCCAAACATAGAAATCGAGGTGGAGGATTGCGAGGAATATATCACAACTTTCTCTTTCTATGTAATTAGTAACAAAGAATTTATGGAGCCACTTTGAAGCATCTCAACTAAAGGAGGATGCGACCGCATATGAAAAGTGAAGACACATTAAAGAGAAGGTGTGAGGGCTATAAGATGAGCCCATGATTAGAACGCCGCATGACGACTAGCGGAGACACCTCAAGAGAAGGTGTGAGGGCCGTGGAAGGAGCCCAGTTTAGAACGCCCCAAAGCCAATGTGATGGCGAGGTATAAGTGGACAGATGCATGTATGGATAGCCAATGAAGTGGTTATGATGAGTATGGAGACAAATACAGGATTGACTTTCATAGATATTGCCCCCATGCTAAAGATCAATGAGCTAAAAGACATTTGTCTTGAACAACAAGTGGATGACTTGTGGAGCATTAAGACGCTGCTGCTATGAAGGGGCAAAGGGCATGCGTAAGTTCCGGGAACAAGTTGACTCTTGTCAAGGTGGTGAGCTTGGTGAAAGCATTGTAATACTTAGAATATCAAGACATATATAGATCAAACTTTACTGGGTTGTCCCCATGGTTAAAGGTGGAAAGCTACCTGAACTATTGAGACTAAGAACGAGAGACTTACAGAGAAGTAAGACGTGGTTTCTAGGGTGGAACAGAGGACAAATGCAACTCCTAGATGAGTAGACTCTTGGAATAGTGGTGAGTTTGTGATCATATTGAGATACTCAGATAATGATTGTCGACTTGAAATATCCGTTTGAGGGGGTGTTATAAGCCTTAATGTGAGGCTTGATGAATCATTCTGGATCGAGCATGGTTGATATGCTCGAAGGGGAATGTTGTTCCAGAGACAAGCGCTAAACTATTAAGATATGATATGGCAGACCATTTGGTTATAGTGATCCTTTTATGTGAGAAAAGGTGTGCTTTGGTTACTCTGATGATTGAAAGGTTTGGCAAGTACCTATAAACCTGGCCACAAATGCTCTCAAAATGAAAAGTTTGGAAGAGCTGGAAGATGCAAGTTTGTGTTGAAGAAGCAAGAGGACAGTTGCCCCACATGAATTACAAAGAGGGTGATTGTTAGGTTGGTTGCCATTTCATGTGCACCAAATGGACGACACCAACTATTAACTATTGGCAGCCACTATTGTTGAATGAGGTGGAGTTGGTGACCACCAATGTTGACAACGAAACATATGTGAGAGAGCAAAATGAGAGAGGAAGTAGAGCCAAAGAGGTGAGAAATATAGGAGAGTGTGTGATGCCAAGGGCAACAAGCAGTACTTGTCATTGCAACACTGTAAAGAAAGAAAAGAGTGAGGTTGAGAGTTGAAAAAAGAGTGAAGATTCCTCTTCTTCTATTGTTGTAAATCTTGTACTCTCCTTACATAATGAAATGGCTTCTCTTGTGGATGTGGGTAATTTGCCGAATTACGTTAAATATTGTGTCAGTATGCTTGGCCTTTAATAAGCAAATATCATAACATCACCGGTTAAATTTCACAACAAGAAAACCTTTGCCTTCGTATCCGGAGAGCATAGTAACTCGAGCTAAAATGATGTTGAGGTTGACCAATGGAGAGCGAGATACAGCGTTGCACGAGGCAGCTCGACATAGGCGGAGCCATGTGGTGGAAATGTTGACAAAAGAGGACCCTGAGTTTCCATATCCCACCAATGTTCATGGAGAGACTCCACTTTAAATTGCTGCTTCCAGTTGAGGTCGAGAACGAGAAAAGGTGATCGATGAAATCCTAACTAATTGCATCTCAGTGGACTATGGCGGCCCTAATGGTAGAACTGCTCTACATGCGGCAAGC